CTCCGACCGCCGCAGCACGGCTGGGCCGGGCTGCCCGAGCTGCTGCAGCGAGGGACACAAATCCTTTTAGCAGCGCAAGAGATGGTGACTAGCGCTAAGGCACGGAGTTGTCCGGCCTGCACTTGAAGTCCCACATCCTGTCACACTCCACAGCTCGAGGGGGATCACGGTGGTACTTAGAACCATTTAAATGCTTCAAAGGTATAAAAGTCAGAGCGTATTTAGCTTTTGTTATCATTACCATACACGTAAGCCCGTTAAACCTCCTCCCCCTCATAGGAGAGGCCCGAGTCATTCTCTGTGTCTTAGGCTACAGATAAAGCGTGCTGCTTCTGGCTCTGCACGCAGGGCTCTAGTCGGAACCGGAAAGCAGCTCTAACCGTACGCAGACAGGCAAAACCGCTGAGCCCAAACCGTGGTGTTATTTATGTGTAAAGCCATTGTTTTTCCTTTCTGTCTACTACACAAGAAAATGAAGTACGGTTTCTATTTTCAGAAAACAGCTGCAAAATTACAGCCATTTCAAATTGCTGCATAAGACAGGTCTCAGGCCATGTCACAATGCTGGAAAGATAATTATGCATTGCACAAGTTTGCCAGTGGTTAATCTCAGGTGCTGAGAAGCACGCAGCGTGACAGACAGGTTTGCCTCCACCTACTCAGCCAGCTGGAAGCAACTGCTTCCTTCACAGCCCTTCCAGATGTAGGAGGGAATTAAGCAGCTGAACCAGCACAGTCACTGAAGGAAGGGTCCTAAACAAGGATAGCAGAGGAAAATACAATGCATTCTCAGATGCTGTAGGGAACTTAGGAGAGCAGGGCAGGAAATCCAAGAGACACATTAGTAATTTAACAGCATATGCACAGAGCAGTGAATTTTCCTTCGTTTCAGTGGCTAAAGATTTTAACTGGCATCCAGTGCAACTTTTCTGGGCCTACATTTAGTACTGCAAGATTGTCATCTTTCTACACGATGCTTTGGAGCACCCCTTAGCCAATACTGGTTTTACTGAAAGAAGCTATTTAGCATGGGTGTTTCTATGACCATCCATTCATGTTACACTTATGTTGAAGCTTCTTTATATGTTATTTCCTAGCCGTGGATTTATTATGGACATGACCCTTTTCATCAATGGAGCAGTGGCTAATACAGAACAAAAAGTGTTAGGAAGAATCTTTATGTGTGATTAAGTGCTAGTCAATCAGCTTATTTACAACCTTCTTCATTAACGCAGAACCAGAAAGAGCGATTATTAGAAGCTTAGAGATCCAGCTTAGCTGGTCTAGGTCGGCAACTGACTGACGTTCCATTTTTTTGGCTGGGGTTACTGCAAACGTCAGTCTGTTTCTCGATCCAGATGAACCGGCATGCTTGCGGCCATACAAGTAGCTGGGGGTAGGAGGCTACAGCTATTCAGTGTATCTGGATCAGACATTCTGCGTTTTTAGGAGTTTAATGACAACTCCTTGTATTACGCACACTACACCACACCAGTCAAATGCTGTTTAAATGCTTCTGGATTGCAGGATTGTGCTTTCATACAAGCAATTGTAAGTTCAACATGGAATGATGATGTAAGCGTGACTTTTTAAGTCTTCACAAATTAAGAATATTCTTGTAGACTTTCATGATACCTAGGGATAATTCTGTGATAGGATTGGGAATAGAGATCTACGACACAGAAGAACTCCCAGTCCATGCATAAAATAATGTGTAATTTTGTGAAGTATGATTGTTGGAGTACTCACATGCGATCCATAGCAAAACAGGTCCATTCCCAGTTCATATCCCATTCCATAGTCACATTCATCATTAGCAAACTGAACAAAGGTGAGCATTTCTTGAATGGGTGCAAAGGCCTTCAGTCTCTCATCGTCAGTAGGAGCATCAACAATGGCCTTGCAAATTTTTTTGAGATTAGCTGCAAAAAACAAAAGCAGAAATATTTAGACATTTTTAAAAAGAAATTTGATATTGCACAGAAGTAGTTTGTGGCAAAACCATACCTGTGTGTCACGCTTACATGAACAATTACTGGGCACACCCTGAACTGCTGGTGAAAAAGTTTCCCCCTTCCCCTTGCTGCTCATTCTGGCCCCACCCCCATCCGTCTCAGTTCCCCATACAGAGACAAGCATTTGCATGGTGAACTTGCACCACAGAACTGATTCTGGTTAGAACAACACTGGGGCAGGATAGGGGGATAAGAAATAAACTCACAAATCCCTGAATGTAGATCAGTTCTTTGGATCTACTTCCTGCATGGCTGTGCCAACACAAAAGAGAGGGTCATCTAAACTACTACTTCATGAATTATTATTTCAGATTTAGCACGTTTCATTGATTCTCATCTGGTTTGTTTAAAGAAAATACCTTGAGCTCAACTCTGATGGTTCAGATTTCTGCCTTTTACTCCCACCGCTCATATTCTCAAGTAGGAAATACAAAAGCAGGTTGGGTTTTGCAGAGTTGCTGTGCGACTGAAGGTTGTTTACTTAAATAAAGCAGAATAATACAGTAAACAAGATATTTACCATTTGTTTCAGGAAGTTCTCTGTATCCAACATCATTTTTGTCTACAGGAACAACTAGGCCTGCTCCATGAAATGCTTTGGTCACCACCTAAATAAAGACACAGGAAATTGAATATAGCACCGTAAGTCAATACTGTGACATAAACCCACTCACCTCACTAAACACCACCTGACTGCTGGTGCTCAAACCTAAGACAGTGTCCAGGCTCTAGGACATCAACTTCGTTTTAAAGTATACAGTAGTTACTTTTAAGTACTGAAGTTTAAAATAACTGGAAACTCCATTTCAGCCAACTTCTGAAATCTAGGAATCCTTGTAGTCCAGGGACTACATTTGTTTAGCCACTCCCTACCATAATTATTTCTGATCGGTCTGCAAAAAAACTCTATTACTAATCCATATCATCCTTAATGTTCCCATTTCCAAGAGATCCAACCCAACTGTTTACATGAATCTTCACTCTGAAGCTGTTTTCTCCATGCTCTCCATTTTAGTTTTTAGACTATTTCCCTTACTGGGTTTTTGGGTTTGTTTGGGTTTTTTTTTTTTTTTTCCTTTAATTGAATGCCAAGCTATGGTTTACAAGAGTGAAGTGTTTTGATTTAATCCTATTATTTGGAACACACTTATATTAATCTTCCCTCTCCTGAAGTTTTATAGAGCAAGCTGATTAGCTCTGGAAATTCCTAAATGAAGCATCTTTACTGACTAGGAGGAAAAAATAAAAAATATTTAAAAAAAACCAGGCAAGTAAATGAAAAGAGTTTAACAGAACTTAGTTCTCTCCAGGGGAAAGTCATACTTTCTTATCTCTCTGTTTCATCTTCATGGTTTTTTGTTCCAGAGAATAACCCAGTTCTTTTGCTGTTCCTGTTAGTTTTTCATCTATATCTTTCAGAATAGCATTTTTCTTTTTATCGGTCACTTCTTTAAGTTTTTTTGACAAAAATAATCTGCAAACAGAAGAAACATGTCTTAAAAGAGCTTAACAGAAAACAAACAAGTGAATAACATTCTAATCACTAACCCTCCAAATCTCATAGTGAAGATTAGCAGTCATGGGTTTATTTATACACACAGACTTGGGAATGCAAGCCTCTTAACAACAAGAAAAAAAAAAGTCTGGCACAGACAGCACTTTGGCATTTCCTATCTGTATTTGCATTACAATACCGTTTATGCAATCTGCAGGTGCTGAAGATTCTCCTGGACTCAGTAGCTGTTCATCTTTCTATCTTAAGAATTGAGTTTGCTGCTTCAGTGCCATATACACTATTTGTCATCCAAGTCATGCACATAAATACATATTTATGAGTTTCATCATGGTGCTTTCAAAACAAATGTCCTCGTTTAACTCTGCACTACACGGGGGTTCTTTTGCAGAAGCTTTTCTTCAGTATGCTTTCACTTACTGACACGCTTCTGTCCTTACAGAGCTTTCTATTTTTAACTGACAGGTCATGAAATCTGTTGTTTACATTCACGATGCAGGACTATGTAAAGCTTCATGAATCATATTGAATTATATATCCATATAAATGTTATCGTGCCCCAGGTCAGAAGTGGTACTTCTTGTAGTTTTATATACAAAAATAATGTACTTCCGTGTCGGGAAAACCAAGATCTAGATGCTACTCATTGAGTACGATATTCAGATTTCCTTCACTAGTGTTTGAGATGCCCTTTCTTATGATGTATTTTAACATACCCACTGGGCATTTTTTTGTTTCCCTATAGAGACTATCCCTTCCAATGTATTTAAAGAATGAGATAATTAACACTTATCTATTGAGATAATTAACACTTATCTACTTTACCTGTAAATGGAAAACACTGTCAAGAAGCCTATTAAGGCTTTTGAGAGTACCATTAAACTTGCTAGCAGGAACAAAAAAAACGAGGGTTTCTTGAGAAAGAAAGATACAAAAGTTAGCTGCATTATTCCACATCGTATCTCCCAATGAATAGTTTCTCTTCTACTCTACTTATTTATAAATAGATGTAAACATGAACCTTACTTGACTGCGGCAAAGACATTATCACCAACTTGTGAAATCACACAGCCCTTCTTAGCTTCATTGACACCAACCCACACTGGAAGCTCCTCTGGCACATCCCTATTTATGAAAAAGTACACACAAATAGTTGAGCCGTGTCCATTTTTTCTATTTCAAAGTAAAATTAATTTGCCTCCTCACCATACTGCCATCTCCTTCAGAAACCTAACAAGAAACACCCTTAGATCTAAAGCTCTAAAATCTTACAGCATGGCTTCGAAAGGAGCTTGTATCAATACATGCAGAGAGAATACACATTCCCTTTATTTCATAGGGATTGACTACTTCTTCTAAGGATCAGGGCAAAACTTAAAGATTAATAAGTGAAGGTGCTCTGGAGGGTTGGGAGAGGTAGTTCAATAAATATTTAAATCTAGTCTTCAATATCTTTGATTGTTTTTAATAAAAGATATCAACCCATGTATTAATATCCAATCACAGAAGAGAAAGCTTTTTGTTTGGTGATAGTGCACAGTTCTCAAATCCTGTCTTGTAGAAAACAGAGGAGAAAAAGCTACACATAATTATAGTCCAGCAAGAGCATATATTAAATAAAATACCTGAAATATCCCATGTGATACTGTGTTTTGCTATCCCCGACAAGTATAGTCTGGAATTCTGGGGGATCATAGAAGAATCTCCAATGAAGATTGAAGTCCAGATCTGTTGATTTTGCTTTTTTGTGTTTTCCAGCGAGAATATCATATGGTCCAACCAGCGTAAGTCCAACACTTGACACAAGTGCCTCTGAAAAGCAAAGCATGAACTGGTTTACTTTCTGGTGAGTGCATAAATGAAGGTATCAAAAGCTTCCATGAATCCAAACCACTCAAACATTGTTTAACAGAAAAGGAAAGCTGAAATGTTCTTTTATTCAGACAGCTTTTATTCAAGAGTTCAGTTATTACACTTCTCATAAGAACTAGTGGTCAATGGCTCAATATCCAGATGAAGACCGGTGACAAGTGGAGTCCCTCAGGGGTCCGTGTTGGGACCAGCACTGTTTAACATCTTCATCAATGACATAGACAGTGGGATGGAGTGCACCCTCAGCAAGTTTGCAGATGACACCAAGCTGAGTGGTGCAGTGGACACACCTGAGGGACGGGATGCCATCCAGAAGGACTCAGACAAGCTTAAGAAGTGGGCCCATGTGGACCTCATGAGGTTCAACAAGGCCAAGTGC